AGAGTGGTGAGTGCTGTATTTTGCTTTGGGCCACCCTTTTATTACGGCTATTATTCCCTGATGCTGCCATTAGACCTCTCAGGCCTGCCACCTTCTGAAAGCTTCAAATTTTTACTTTTACCCAAGTGGACAATATACAATATACAGCAGCAATTTGATGGCTAAAACTTACAGGTTTATATCCCCCCAACTCAAGTGTGGCTAGCTTTGGGTTGAATGCTTCTGATCCTAGAATATGCTTCCCGGGAGAAAACTTTGAAGAGGGCATCAACCTTCTATGGGAGCTCAGGAATGAGAAATACCTTGTAGCATGGAGGACTGTCTCTTCGAGAGGCAGGTCTGAATGACAATTTCCTCTACTTTGTAAGTGAGTGTGGTTTCTTTAATGCTCCAGCTAGAACTGACCAACAGCTTAGGATAGGTCTACACTAACCAGAATACTCCGAGCTGCATTGATCTCATGGATGGGCACCTCATTGTTATCTCATAAAGAGTGTCTTTCACCAGTGGCAGAGACACCAAGTGGCATAGCGGGACATGTGTAAACAGCAACCTGATGTTGCTACAAAGTGCTCTGGATTTTCTTGGAAAATCTAGACCAAAGGTAAGTTTTTTAAAATTGGTATGGAATTAGCCTTCCCATGCAGACAGTTTGGGACTTGATCTGCACAAAATTCACATGCGATTGTTTTGCATAGGAAATAGCATTTGCTGTGCAGGAAACAACCCTTTCTGTGAGAAAAATAATATTTCAATGCAGAAATATTAGTTCCTGCCTGGAAAATATTGTTTTCTGGGAAAAGGGGGGGGGGAGCTGTCTAGGGATTTGTTCTGCGCAAAATTCGCACATGGTTGACTTGCATCGAAAGCAGCATTTTCTGCACAGAGAAAAACTGAGATATTTTAAATGCAGCTGGAAAAATGGGGAGACCAAAGACTAATCAAGACTTTCCCTGCTAAAAAGAGACAGTTGTCAGGTATCTAATGCAATGCATGTATGTAATGTGGCTCAAAATATATCCTTAGTTCTCTTAGTACTTTGTGTGTCCTAGCTCTGTGTATATTCTCTCTCTTCCTCATTTGAAGGCCAATCCTGGGAGCAAGAGAAATGAGATGACAGGCCCCTGTGGAAAGCAGGCATGAGTGAGAATCCTCCACTTCTCTTAGGGGAAGAAAGTTGGGGAAGGGGAAACTGATAGAAGGATATCAAATTATGTCCTGATGGCATGGAGAAAGTGGATAGGGAGAACCAGTTTTTCTCATCTCATTCATTCTCTGTCATAGTAAAGTAAAAAGGGGGTTTGTCCACTGATGCTGAACAGTGGAGAGATGAAAAGGAAAGAGGCACAAAGAGCATAGTTAAGATCCTAGATTTCACCACTCCAAATAGCAATGGCTGCCAACTTGGTTGGCTTTAAACAGGGATTAGACAAGTTTATGGGCTATCAGTGGGGACTAATTATGATGGCTTTATATGCCTTTTTCCACGTCTAGAGACAGCATGCCCCCTGTGTACTAAAGCAGGAGGAATGAACAGAAGAGGACTGTGGCTTGCTGGCTTTCCATAGTTTAGCCACTGTGTGAACAAGAGGCTGTACTGGATAAGAATTGGTCTCCTCAAAGAGAAACCATGCCTATAAGGAGTATTTTAGGGATTTGGGTATGTTTAGCCTGGAAAAGAGAAGATTAAGAGGTGACATGACAGCCATGTTTAAATATTTGAAGGGATATCATGTTGAGGATGGAGCGTGCCTGTGTTCTGCTGCTCCAGAGACAGAGTGATGGATTCAAGCTACAGAAAAAGAGATTCCACTTCAAGATTAGGAAGAACTTCCTGATGGTAAGAGCTGTTCAATCATGGAATATGCCTCCTGGAAGTGTGGTAAAGTCTCTTTCTTTGGAGGGTTTTAAACAGAGACAAGATGGCTATCTGTCAGGAGTACTTTAATTGTGTATTCCTACAAGAGTAGAACCATTTAGTCACTAGATTTCCCTATGTGTTGGTTCACTATTCAAAAATTGATTCAATGGATCTACTTTAACTGGGAGTAATTAGCACAATTTCAGTTGATATATTTGTCCACCAAGCCCAACACCTGAAAGAGAAAGCAGAAAGATATCTCTGATCTTAAATATTTATGTCCCTACCCAAAGAACAGTGGGAATTATTTCTTTGCTTGATTTGGTTATGTTGTTCTCCATCTGTGGTATAGAACAGTATAATCCAGAGTTAACTGCCTCATTTGTTGACTTAAATCCTATTATTGCTCCTGACTGAGTAATAATAATAATAATAATAATAATAATAATAATAATACAGATTTGGTAAATAGTAAAGGAACACACACTTCATTGACTATTCATTGAGTATTCACTGACTTCAGAACCAAAAAGGAAACCCTGCAAAAATTCTACAGCCTTTTGGCTTCAGGTTTGTCTCCTCTTGTGTCTCGAGGGTAAGGAAAACAGACACCAGAACAACAAAACCACAGTTTTTGAAGGACAGAGCCACTTGAATCAATCCCCCTCACCCACATGCACACCTGTCTATAAAATAAATGATGTGGGGAGAGTCATCCGATGCACCTGAGCCGAGACAAGCAACTGAGGTTCCTCTCATGGAGCCATTGAAGTGGCATTAAACAGACAAAGACAAGCTCGCAGTCAGTTATCGGCCAAAAATATAATGAAGAAACAAGTTGGTGGAGCAAAACCAAGTCATCCGGGCCAGCCATGTGGAGAATTTAATTTCTCTCAGGTTCTTCAGCAATGAAGCGTCGCCATAATTGTAGTCCCGGCACCCGCACGATTGCTGACAGCTCTGACCCACTGGGGTGAGAGTCTGCCGTCACTCCCTGTCAGAATCGAAATGGGAGCTAGGGTGGGGGATATGGGCAAGCTAGGAGGGGCAGGGCAGAGCCAAGAATCAGGAAAGAAACCTATTCTGGAGATGAGAGGCTCCTGGTTTACAAAAACCAGGAACACCATTCCTCCATCTTGAGTTTTGATGATGGTAATCTTAGTGCGGGAGAGCCAGTGTGGTCTAGTGGTTTGAAAGTTGGAGTAGGGTTCTGGGAGACCAGGGTTCAAATCCCTCCTCATCTGTTGAAATCCACTGGGTGGCCTTGGACAAATCTCTCAACCACAGAGGAAGCCAATGGTAAGCCCTATCTGAACAAAGTTTGCCAGAAAACCCTGTGATAACTTTACCTTAGACCAATGGTTCCCAACCTTTGGTCCTCTGTTCATTTGGGGCCTCAAGACCCAGAATCCCTAGCCAACTTGATCCACAGACATTATGGTAGCTCAATACCAAAGCATCTGGAGAACTAAAGGTTGAGAATCACTGTCTTAGGGTCACCATAAGTCAAAAACCTTTTGAAGGCATACAACGACAACAAATCCTAGCTGCTGTAGGTTCTCTTTTCTTTTCACTGGTGAAAAATGGAGACAATGACTGTCAATGTGTTGTGCCACTGTCTCTGTGATTTTTTTGTTGTTTCATAATGACATCAGAGGTGTGACACATTCTCACTGTGGTTCTCAATTTACAGGTTCTCGAACCCACTTCATCTTGGGTCTCTGTCCTGACCTAAATGATACTCCACTTGATCAGACCAAAAGTCTATCTAGTCCAGTATTATGCCCCCACAAGCCCACAAGATCATAAATAACCTTCCTTGATATGAACCTTGCCAGATGTTATAGATGAAAGCCTTCATTAACTTTCACCACTTCCTGTGTCAGGTTGATTCCTCAGCCTTCACAATAGAACAGAGGTGCCATTGTGCTGTCCAGTTGTTGTAGTTTTTAATTTCCAAGATCCCTGACCATTGGCAACAACAGCTGGAAGAGAACACATTGCCCATCAGTGCAGCAGAGAGTTTCTTCAAGCAGTGGACTGCAATGGAGGACACATGAAATTGAGTTCATACATCGGAATTGGATACCATAAATTTCTGCATGCAGAGTTATGCATGGATTATGCTCTACAGCCCCTGTGTTGAATGGCAATGTTGTGGAACTGAGTGTGTACCTGAGTGCACATCTGTCTCCACAGTGACAGCATATGTGTGACCCCCGCTTCCATGACCTTGAATTGAATATAGACGTTCTCCATTGGATAAAAATGTCCAGCTACTTCTATAGGGGAACTTAACGCATACATAAGTCACCAACAGGATTCCAGAAATGGATGTGCTAATAAATGCCATTGAAATGTTCCCAGTTATAGAAACTTAAAAAGGCTTGAAATCATGGAGTAATGATTGGCTTTCCTGTTAATGAAGGTGGTGAAGCTGTAGTATTCCATGATGAAGTCATTCACATATCTATCATGTGAACATAAGTTTTGATTTGTTTGGCATTGGGTGTGTTTTATTCCACAGCGAGTCCCATCATCAATAGGTGATCATACCAAAAGAGTCAATGATATATTCTTCTTCCAGTTTTTCTGTTGCTATTTGCAATTTGCCAGCCTTCTACCATCATAAACATCTACATTTCTTTACAGGGGAAATCTACACTTTGACCATTAAATATAGACAGCCATGCTAGTTCGAATGTACAATCGATAGGCTGGCTTATGATTTTACAGCATCCCTGATTGTTGATTATTTGCTCTATTAAATTAAATGCACTTGTCAAGGGGGAAAATAGCAACAGTCTCCATAGAATGATAGGATCTTAGAGTTGGAAGGGACCACAAGGGTCATCTATTGCCACCCTCTGTCAGTCAGCAATAAACAACTGACTTCTAAAAGATACTCATTCAACCACTATTTAAAGACCTCCAAAAAAAGAAGAATTCACCACCCTCTGAGGCTATCTGTTTCACTGCTGAACAGCTCTTGATAGCAATTGAGTTGCTGTTGTGAGCCTTCAAGCTGTTTCTGACTTAGGCTGATCCTAAGGTGAACCTATTATAGAGTTTTCTTGATAAGTTTCTTCAGAGGAGGCTGAGAGATTGTGACATGCCCAAGGCCACACAATGGGTTTCATGGCCAAGCTGGCATTCAAACCCTGGTTTCTAGAGTCATAGGCCAACGTTCAAACCACTACACCACACTGTCTCTCTGCCACTCACTAATGAAGCAGTTTGACACAGGTATCTCTATGAGCATTACGTTACGCTTTGTCTCCTCAATGGAAGACCTCAGCAATATTTATTAAGCAAGATTCCATACTTGGTATATGCCTGACATTGTTAGCTGAGCTGGTGTGTGTCAGTTTTTAATTTTTCATTATTTTTAATGTACTTTTCTCAGCATACCAAAGAGTTCCTAAATTGAAATATCTGGACTGCCTTTCATTTGCAAGCTGGAGTTCCATCATCTTTCTTCATGCCTCTTCCAGTTTTTAATGCATGGCTCTCATGCCCATTACTCAAATTCTGATGCATCTTTCAAAGTTAGCAGCTAATTATAATTCTTCTTTATCATGGAAAGAAAATATTTTAATGACATTACTTGTCTCAAGTTAATTTTAATTATAGCACTGCAACCAAACTAGGAATCTTGGGCCAAGAATGTTGCAAATATATTCCGAATATATATTAAATATGTTCCGAATATATATTAAATATGCTCATATTTAAGAATATATGGCTGATAATGAAGGCACATTTAAAACCCAGTACTGAAACGTTTGTCTTCCTCTCTCTTTCTCTCATTGATACACACACACACACTTCTATTTCTTTCACCAAAGCAAGGAAAAATTCACTTACATTTACAGCGGGGGGTGGAGGGTGGAATGAGTACAGATTTTTAAACTGAAAAATATTCACAACCACTGGATAAGTTCTATAACAACCAGTTTTAGAAAACAAAATTCTCAGTCACAAGCCAAATTTGATTCAATTAATTTGTGGCATAGTAGTTTGGCCATTGGACTTTGACTCTGGAGACCAGGGTTCAAATCCCAGCTCGGTCATGAAACCCACTGGGTGACCTTGGGCAAGTCACACTCTCTCAGCCTCAGGGGAAGCCAATGGCAAAACCCTTTCTGACCAAATATTGTCAAGATAGGTTAACCTTAGGGTTGCTATAAGTCAGAAACTACTTGAAGGCACACAACAACAACAGCAAATTTTGAAAACCAAAATGTACAAAATCAGTTTTATAACACAAAACCTATTATAATGATTTTATTAAAAATAAATAAATAAATAAATAAATTAGTCTCAATTTCAGTCAAATTTGTCAGATAAATTAATTCTGAGGAGAGTTCCGGCCACGTATGGCCATCATAGTGGAAGAGTGAAAAGTTGGATTGGCTCATTTCTTGACTTCAGAATGTTGGAAATTCAGATAATTTTATGGAAAGAACATTATTTTTCTTTTAAAAATTAAATGTAGAAGGCAGCAAAACTGCTTTATCAAATTTGATGCAATTTTCAGTTTCAGTTCTTATAAGATCTTACCCAAAATGTCTTCATAAATGTAAGTGATCTATCTATCTATCTATCTATCTATCTATCTATCTATCCATCCATCCATCTATCAATCCATCTGGAGTTGAAGTAGACTTGAAACCAGTTAACAACAACATAAGACTGAGAAAAGTATTGTCTTCAAGGTAAAAAGGCCCCAAAAGACAACTCTGACCAACCTAACCAGTCCACAATTTCAGTTGGTTTGCCATCTACAGCTAGAAGTACCCTCTGTCGTTTTGGTAACCAGAATGCTATTTTATATTCTTTCCATTGTATTTGCAACAGCCCTGGATATTCTGGAGCATTTGGAGTGGTTAGATTCCATATGCTAGGAATCTGCTCAATGGCCATTTGACGTCGCCTAATTTGCCAACCGGGGACGTTTCCACCAAAGTGACTTTCGAGCTGTGATTTTTAATTGAGAGCGAGCGAGAGCAGGAGTCACAAGCAAACAAATTTCCAGAGAGTTTGCAAAGTAAGGAAGTTATAAATAGCTTCCCTAACGGGAAACTGTAATCCGATACGATTTATTTCCTCTTCTGATGGGCTGACCTTCATCCCCACTCGAGGCACTGCCTGTCATGAAATATCGCTGGTCCATTTGGTAGTGGAAATAAATTGTATCTCCACCACTGAACATTACACATCCGCTTCATACTGTGCAAAGGAATGGGCAGGCAGTCTCCCAAAACAAGGTAGATGCATGGGCCATATTTGAATATCTATGTATATCTGTGTGACAAATGACATTTCTTGTCCCTGGAAAAGAGAGCTATCCTCCTATATAGAAGGTGTGAGCAATTGTGTGATGATGGGGGCCAATTCCCCACCCTTCCCGAATGGATCAAACACCCCTCATGTTGTTGTTGTGTGCCTTCAAGTTATTTCCAACTTATGGTGGCCTATCAACTTATGGTGATCTATCATGGGGATTTCTTGGCAAGTTTCTTCTGAGGGGTTTGCCACATCCCTCGTCTTAAGCATGAGTTCCAGATGCACCAACTATGCTATCCAAATGAGTCTAATAAGAAAAAATATATGCATGTTTTTGCAAGGCCATGCTTCTGTCTTGAGCTTCCTATATCATGGGATTTTCTTGGCAAGTTTCTTCAGAGGGGTTTGCCACATCCCTTTTCTTAAGCATGAGTTGCATATGCACAAACTATGCTATCCAAATGAGTCTAATAAGAAAAAATATATGCATGTTTTTGCAAGGCCATGCTTCTGTCCTAAGCTTCTTATATCATGGGGTTTACTTGGCAAGTTTCTTCAGAAAGGGTTTGTCACTGCTGTCCTCTGAGGCTGAGAGCATGTGACTTACCCACGGTCACTCGATGAGTTTACTTGGCTGAGCTGGGATTTGAACCCTGGTCTCCAGTGTCATAGTCAAGTCAATGCTGGCTCTTCTTGGTGTAGTGGTTTGAGTGCTGGACTATGACTCTAGAGACCAGGGTTTGAATCCCAGCTCAGCCATGTAAACTCACTGGGTGACCTCGTGCAAGTCACATGCTCTCAGCCTCAGAGGATGGCAGTGGCAAACCCCCTCTGAAGAAACTTGCCCATGATATAGGAAGCTCAGGACAGAAGCACTGACTTGCAAAAACATGCATATTTTTTATATTAGACTCATTTGGATAGCATAGTTTGTGCATCTGCAACTCATACTTAGGACGAAGGATGTAATTCATCACCAGTTTAATTCTTGAAGGGAACAATGAGTGATTTCAACCATTCCCCCCCCCCTCCAGTGCGAGACGAACCTTCAAAAGCCAAGCAGTTTTCAAAGCCTATTTGTGCTTTGGAACTTATCCTGCACAAAATTTGCAGGCAGTTGTTTTGGCACCGAAAACAGCATTTCTACAGCTTTACAAAGTCTACAATACACAAATTGAATGGAGAAATGGCAATTTAAAACAATACACTTAACAGTGCCTTTCAAAGGACGATGAACAAGTTTATTCTAATATCCTAATACAAATGATGAAGAAACAGCTATACAATAGATCATTCAATTCTAAAGCGACGTGCTTCAGTTGGCTTCAAAGTTAGTCAATTTTTACCCTCAAAATGTGGAAAACAGATGTCTCCTCAGCCTTGTCAATCTGTACATTAAAAGACGCCTTGGCAAAGAAAGAAAAGAAAGAAAACCAACTTATTTTATTGTTACTCCTGTCAAAAAAAAAAAAAAGCAAAGAAAGAAACATAACGATTTAAGAGCCATGTGATGGTAATTGTCATGGGGTTCTCCCCCCTCCCATTCCTGACAATAAACATAAAACTAAAAAACTCTATTTAAAATCATTTTGCAAATTCCTGTGTCTTAGCAGTTACGACTGAATAAGGGTTCGCTCCCTCCCTCCCTTGGTATATAGAATGCTTTCTTGTCATCTTATAAAACTGTCAGAAATTATAGATATAGATATAGATATATAGTCAAGTTTCTTTTTTCTAGTTCAGTTGGAATTATTTGTTTGTCACTTCATTCCCCCGCTCCCCTTTCCCCTCTTTACAATACTAAATTGCTGCATTCTTAGACAACTTTCTTTGTCGTTAAAAAAGATCATTATCGTACGCAGCGCTCCAACAGGTCTAGCATTCTCTTCCAGTCAATCAAAAACTCACAACTTCGAGATCTCTTTTGGCAATTCCATTTTTGGAAAACCTCTAAATTCCCAAGATGGGGTGCAGTGTTTGGGAGAAACTCCTAGAAGCATGGGGATTATACTCTATTTGTTGGTGCTCAGTCTCTTTCAGTACTAAAAGAATAACCATAAAGGCCAAGAGCCTACATCACAATCTATGTTCTATAATGCAATGCATCCTTAGCTATGTTGCAGAAACGGAATGAAATTAGTAAATTGCAAAGATACACATCTAGACACTAGGAAGAGTGTTGCGATCAGGCATTTCTGATGTGCATCAGGCAATTCTGATGTGTAGTAGGCACTCCTATTGCACTTAGTAGCCAATGTCTGGATGTTCATTGGTATCTGTTGAGTATCAGTCCATGGACCATCAATCACTAATGTTTTAAGTAACTCTAAGCTTGCATCTGCAATAGAGAAATAATGCAGTTTGACACCACTGTAACCGCCATGGCTCAATGCAATGGAATTCTGGGGTGTATAGTTTTGTGAGCTGTTTAGCCTTCCCTGTCTGGTGGCACAACAAACTACAGATCCCAGGATTCCAGAGCATTAAGCATGGCAGTAAAAGCAGCGTCCAACTACATTGCGTCTCCAGTGCAGATGAAGTTCAATACTAGAAATTATAGCTTCCAAGTTTCCTTCTTTGTCCAAAGGGGGGGACGGGGGGGGGGGGGACTCAGGGCCATGGATTGCTTCAATTAATTGTCATGCCATTTTTGTGTTTTTGAGGAGGACATAAAATTAACCCAACTGCATTGGGTTTGAGATGGGTAGGGAACTTGTTGAAAGACTGGTAGCAATAATGGCCTATTGATCTGTGTGTTGTTATTGGAGCCTTAATGGAGGCGATAAACTAATGAGAGGCATTGCGGCAGGGTGACAACTCGCTCCAAAAGACTAATTAAATGAGAAGTTCTCTAGTGACACAACCAAAGAGACAAGTCTTCTGTCTCTCTCTCTCTCTGTGTGCATGGTTTTGCCACATTAT